GGCCTCAGATGTCTTGTCATTTCCCAGTACATTAAAGAGGCTATAAATTGATTGTACCAGTATTCTTCCATGATTGCAGAAACAGCCTGACCCTGTTTGCTGGAGTGTTCTGTTCCCTACAGATAATGAGAGCCTGGTGCTGTTCTGTGCATTCCATGGCACCAATAAATTGAGCACAAAACCCCTTCCGTGGCTCTTCCTGGGGCTGTCACTCAGTGTTACTCTTTCTTTTTTACTATTTTTTTCCCCAGAACCTTGATCAGAGTCTTTGCCAGACGAAAAAAAAAAGTGCTCTGCTAATTACTTATGTGCTTATAAGCCATGTTTTGATAATAGAAGAATTGGAGTTTATTACTGATGCTGGAACTAATCCTGTACAGGGTATGGGAAATATATAGAAGTCCATCCTGATTGCATTAAGTGGAACATTGAGCTCTGTTGGTGTCTGGATAGCAGAAGTGCTGTGAATTTGGTAATCCAGGCATTTTGTGGACTGGATCCCGGTCTCGGTTTTATAGACACTGCAGGCACATAGTCAGTCACACCAGAGAGTTCAGGAGCAAATCTCTAAGCCAGGTACGTTCTGAACATCTGAAGCATTTTACTGAATTCATTTTTTGAGCTCATTCAATAGTTGCTGTTCATTGTGATAAATACAAAATGAAGCAATGTTCTGCCTCACTTTGGTCTAAAATCTCCTGTGTTGAAGGTTGGCTCGCTCAGTTCAATAAATGTATGTGCATGATGCTTTTGTTATATAGAGAGATACCCAAATGAACCCTTAGACCCAATGCCCACAAACTGGAAAAAAAAAGCACTTCAGCTGATGATCTCTTAAAAAAAACACACAGGAAGGACCAAGATGAGCTTGAGATTTGGAATAATCGTAGGGCTCCAAACTTTTGGTTTCATGTTGAGCTTACACTGGGCTGGCCATGCTGCTTTGATAGAATAAGGATAGTTTTATTAGTTCAGAGTTCATTGAACCTTTTCTGCTTTTTACTGTTTTTCATTTTGGTACACAGCTTTTCCCCCAGACCTGAAAAAGGATTAAAATGCCAGATAGGAGACAGATCACTCAGCATTTCTAATCACATACCAGAAATCTCAAGACACATAGTTCTCACAGGGTTTTCTACTCTTTGTAGACCATAAAAGGCTCAGATAACCTTCTAAAGTCCACTCTGATCTCTTTAGTCATTAAAAAATAAGTTTTTACTGAGAAACTAAACTAGGTTCCTGCTGCAGTGATCACATTCAATCCATCCAGTTTCACTCCACAGCTTCAGAAGTTACTTATGCATTCATTCACTTACAATAACAGAAGTCTTCATTCAAAACAACATTCTGACAGTTGAAACAAGGCTGGAACTATTGCAAAAAAAAGAGAAAAAAAGGCCTGGAGTACTGCAGGGAAACATTTCCATATATATTATTTCATCATTTCATTTCAGATGGTCATAGGCATTTGCTTTCTAACTATATTTCATGTTCATGTTTCAGAAATGCTCCAACTGTTGTGGGTGGAAGAATAGGCTCACCTGCTCAGCCTCCCTGAGGGGCAGGCAAATACTGAATCACCTAAACTGCAAACTGGTAAGTTTAGTCTTGCATTTTCCATTACCTTCACCACTACAAAAGTGAATTTCAAATAAGGCAAGTGATTGACCTTCTTTCAGTGAGCCTCCTGGAAATTCCAATCTTAGCAAATTAGTACTTCTGGTGCATGTTCTCCTGCAAGGTAAGGCAGTCTGGTAGAAACAGCCAATTATTTGAACTGCCAAAGTGCTTAGTGGCATTAGTGTAACTACTTCGTGTCCTATTTATCTGTCTGTGATAAAACCTTTTGGTCTTGGCCTTGCTGAAGAAGTTGATGCTTTCAAAAATTCCAGCCTTTGTGTTTTTTCATTGAATTGTTGTGTGTTTAAATTAGAGTTGGTATTATTTATTTGCTCTTTATAGAGAGGCACTGCATTTCAGGCTCTGGGCACAGTCTGCCTTTTCAGTGCAGGTTTGTACAGCACCTAAAACACAGTCCCCCACGCTGTTTAAGATAATAAATGTAGGAAGATAACACCATGCCTTGAAGAGTGATGCTTCTCCCGATGTGTTAATCTGCAGCTTACACTGGGGTAGCTGAAGATAGATCAGATGGGACCTGCTCTGAGAGGGAAGAGCTTCTGCAAACACACAAAATCCTTTCTTAGGTTCTGTATTTGAATGGCAAACAGTAAAAAGTCACAAGCCACTACAGTGTGCTGTGTAGGAGCTCTCAACCATTTCTTTCTGTGGCATAATTAAACACAAGCAGGTAGCCAGGCAGACACCACACTCACACCCACATTCACAGCCTGTGATCCAAAAGGGAAAAAAAATCAGCCATTTGCTGAGGGTCTTTTTTTTATGGTTTAGAGGTGACTTTGCATTTCAATCATCTGAGCTGAACATTTTAAGAAAAGGAGTAAAAAAGTGAAGGGGAGAAGGAGGGATGAGGTGTTTTGAGTCACTGGGGGCTGTGATGCCGAATATGTGCAGAAACAGTGGCATCTAGTGGGCAGGTCCTCAGCCGAGGGAAGGCAGCAGGCACTGGATATGGAGCAAGTCAGCGATTGCAGCTAATGGTTGTCTTTCTCACTTCCATGGATGAAAGGTTTTCCCAAGCCTTTTGTAATCCTTTTCTTTAAAAGCCTTTGGAAATCAACTATTTTTCCAGCTTTCCCACCTTCAGTATACAACTTTCAGGACATTTGTTCTTCCTATTTCATTTATATTAAGCCCTCTCGTGGCTTCCACAGGCAAATTGTAATTACTTAATATGATACAGATTATCATAAATCTTCACCCAGTAGGAAAACTAATGGTTTGCATGCATGTATAAAAGTCCAGCATTTTCCCCCAAGATTTTAGGCATGGACAAAAATAAACCTCCAACTAATCCTTGAACACACTCAATCTAGTTCAGCTTCAGATGATTTCCAGCACAGCTCTGAAGGAAAGATCTGAGAGAATAAAATCACACTGAAGGACTCTGAAACAAAGCTTCATTACACCACTTCTGTAGCTATAACTAAGTATAATATTTATGCAGTATTTACTTTTTATGCTAATCATGTATAAGTTTCTTCACTGGTGAGTCATAATAAATGAGCTAATTTATTTATACCTGATCCTATGATCCTTTTCTCTTATTAGTCCACCGAATTATGTGTAAAACACTGTGTGTGTGTTATGGACATGCAGAAGTGTATAATAAGCAGGATGAGGGGTTGCCACATCCATGGCAACAGCCTAAAGCAGACACACTCACACCTTCACTGTCTCTTCAGCCTTCAGAGTTTGCCAGTGCTGAGCAAACTTAGGAAAGTCGGCTGGGCTGGGCTGGGCTGGGCTGGGCTGGGCTGGCCTCCTCTTCTTTGGCTGCCTCTCGGGGAGGCTGAAGGGTTTTTCTATGTTTACTTGTAGGGCCCAAATTAATTTGTATGAATGGAAGACTTGGCTTCTTAAATCTATCAGAAAAGCTGGATGTCTTAAAAAGCAATATCTTGGCTATTTTCTTCATGATCACAGGATTCCAGAGAATCCAGTCTAGGGATTTTTATTTTTAATTTCAAAATTTTCTGTTCTCTCTCTTTTTCTTTACACTTCTTTTTTCCCCTGTGTTTCAGACTTTCCTTTATGGTGTCTGCTGATTTACTTACCTTGATGGACCAGGAGGTTCTTCAATAGTCAGTTTTTAAGTAGAAGAGAAGTGTAGATACTTTCAAGAGAGACTCTGCTTTTGTAAAGAAGTTTAAATGCTGGAATTCTAGAAACACTGGTAGTGGTTTTGATTTGAACCTGAGTGCAAATATGAGTTGGCTCTTTTGCCCATTGACCAGATGAGTGGGCTAAAGGCTATTAACACTATACCATAATTTCTTCCTTTATGAAGTGGGAGAGAACATGGATCATTGACCTGGAAGTACTTCACCTTTCTATGTTTTTAGTTTTCTCCTTGTTAATTAGATTTAATAATACTTAACTTTTCTTTTGAGTTACCTATATGAGATCCTTCGGCCCTAATGTGGAAAAGCAAATTTTAAAACAATAAACAGTCCCTGTTCCACATGTTTGTTTTAGGATTAGCTCAGTGTTACTGAGGTTGGCCTAGAAGCTCCATTTAACCTTGCCAGTTATCTAACAAATGACTGAATATAATTAGATTGGAGTTCTTTTATTTCAAAGAAGTACTTGAAAATTGACTTTCACAGGGTGAAAGTTGGCATAATTGGCATCAGCATGAATTTTTCATTTTGCAAGTAAAAACAGAGCCAGGATTTCACCTAATGACTTTAACTCAAAGAGATATGCAAATTTAGATCTGTGTATTGAGAGTGTTATGAATGAAGCCCACAATAGCAGCCTGATTATGCTTTTTTACACTCCCAGATTTAATCTAAGATTTATCTTGGCAGTAGGGGAAAGCAAGTCTTTGATGCTTTGAGATTTAAATTATTTCCTTGGAGTCATCTAGGGGAGTTCTCTTACTGGAAGAAAGTATAGTGGAAGGACTGTTGATCCATTCCAGCTTATCAAAAGCTCTGTAGCAGTAATTACCTTATATATCTTCATAAAATTGTGTTTTATTTTGCTACCAGTCCTCAGGTTTTTAGAGTGACAATGAGGAGCTCTGAATGTTACTCTGGTCCATTCATAACTAATTCTCTTGCCTTTACAGATCATAACAGTCATGTAAGAGCCATCAAGAAACTTTTCCTGTTGTTTTGCAGATATCATATATTTGCCATCTGACTGTACAAGACGTTCTGTTCCAAGGCACAGGTTATAAAGGCACACAGGCAGGAAAGGGTTGGCTGGATACATGTAACCCCTCCTGGCAGAATTCTAGAGGAAAGGGATAGTTGTGCAGAGAAACTACAAAATTGTTAGACTGCACTATAGTGCTTCCCAACTGCTGATCCTAAAAAGTCCTCTGATGTTTCCTTAGTACTTCACAATACTGAGCCTCACTTCCAGTGATTTTTGTCAGCAAGTAGTATGGAAGACTAAGGTAGCAAAATCATCTGAAAATGGAATTGAGCCAAGCTTTTATTATGAAACAATACATGAAATACTCATCAGGCAACTAAACACAGTGTTGTGTAAATGTTATGTCTTCATGCAATATTGTTATTTTACCTAGAAAACTGTAATTAAGGATTCCTCCAAAGCCCAGAAAGCTGGCTGCCTCTTCATGTTGATATTCTCCCATTTTCTACGGACCTCTCCCTCTAAGTTCCTCTTGCTTCAGATAGTCTAAAGCTGTGCCCTTTAAAGGACTAATCAGGGATTTATTCTTGCCTATAACTCAGAAACTGGGGGAAACCCTTGATTCATTTATTCACGTATGCAATCATTACTGGTAGAAAATATATGGTGGTCTGTAACATATGTAACCACTTGTAGCTGGAAGTTTTGCTGTATCACTAGGATTGCACTGTATTGCAAAGAGGTTCAGCTCTACAAGGAGCACGTAGCCAATGCAGGAATAATCTTGTCCTTCTTAACACAATCATAGTATAAATCCATGTGCCCATGGAGATCTGCAGAAAAAAACAAAACATAATTAAAAAACATTCTGACATTGGCTATACCACAACATCTAAAGGGCTTCAAATCATTTAAGCACTTTTCTAACATGAATTCTTCACAGTGGCCTGTGAGAAGCTGCTGTGCAGAATTCCTGTAGTTAAGTGAGCCAGCTCTCAACTGTGCCTCAGCTGGAAGATTTTTTGAAAACTGCCAACTTACCTCCTAAGGCTGAGGTTTGGGAATTTTATGTTTTTGTTTTTAAATAAGTTTCAGACCTTTGGCTTGTTGTGGATTAGCATAACTCCATTGAAGTCTACCACAACACCCTGATTTTTAAAGGTATTTAGATATGTATAAATAGTAGAATTTTAAGCAGATGAACTTTCTGTCTCTTGAAGCAGATCAGCCCTGACAGACACCATCTCTGCATTCTCCTGCTTAAAAGCTTTTGAAAACATGGGGCTAAATCTGTAACTTTTATGTTAAAAAGTTAACTGGGAGTGACAGCATCACTATTGTGGTGATGATTCAAATTCATGCCAGTTGACAAAATTTAAATAATGCAGGAAGGCTTCTCCTGTCATAAAAATGTCCAAATATATGTTTTATAGATATATAAAATAAGTATGCACTGTAGAAGAAATATATATACCAGTTGCAGGGTGGGCAAAAGCATTAGATTGGATGCACTAGATCCCTGTTGCAGTGGGGGAGACAATGTGGATTCAGCCAGTGTTCAAGGAATTGTTCTTCTGATCTCTGCTCCAAGCGCTGGAGATAAAGCATATACTCCTATTTAAAGAAAAGAAGAAGTAATTTCATTATGTAATCACTCCATTCTAATGTCAGGCCAATGAACCAGCAGAATCTTTCAGCTTATGTAAGAGCAATTAATTTACCTCTTAAAATAATCAAATATAGTGAAATAGTGTTGCTAGTCAGCTTGCCCCAACCTAGCAATATTTAATGAATGACATCATCATCCAGATCAGTAAAGGTGGCAAGCAAGAGTTTTACAACAATATTCATAAATTTGGAGGTCTGCATACACATTTCTCATTTGCATATCAACACAGAAGCCTCTGTTGGTCCTGAGGGCACAGAGGATTCTCACAGATAGGTCTGTTGTAGCCTCTTTTGAAAATTGATTCCTGCTGATTAAAGAACATTAACCCCTTGTAGGATCATGTGGCAGAACTCTGAAGGGTTCTAGGAGGGTAGCACACATCAGTGCTGACTGGTCTTTCTGTGATAAATAAAATAATGTGAATTTCCCATACCAATTTATAAGGAGGGGGTTTGGTCTAAGCAACAAATTACCAAAGTAAAGTGGGCTGTGTATCAAAAACTTGACCTCCTTCAGGAACAAAATTTACTTTTAAAAAGCCCCAGTCCCAGTGCATGTGGGCTCCTAAGCTTTGTGAACAGTAGATACATTTATTCCAAATACACCCCATTGCTTTGCACAGCAGGCACTGTTGGAATGGAAGCTGTAGCCTGAAACCTTTGCACTGGCCAAGTATTCCCACTGTCATCCAGCTCCCTGCTCTTTGTGCTGAGCAGAGGGTGGGTACCCTGGCTGCCAGCAGGCAGCATTAGATTCCTGCCTTTTACTGGGCTTTCTCTCCTCACAGCACAGGGAGACTTGGCTCAAGTCCCTGGTGACAGACTGCATTAGGAACTGGTAGAGAACAGAACTATATGACTGAGAAGAGGCCACGTTATAAAAAGCAGGATCTCAGTCAAAGTAAGATTAAAACATGCTGACAACATAAATTACATTTTTGTAATAAACAAAGGGGGCAGATCTTGCTGTCTGTAACTGAACAGGTTTTTGACTCCAGCAGCACTGTGGAAGTCAAAGAGTGTCACAAAGAATTGCAAATTACATTCCCCAGCTCAGCATGATCTGGCCTAGTACAAACAGCTTTTGCTTAAAATAGATGAACAGAGGTGGGTTCATCCCAGAAATCATTTCATTCTGCTACAAAGCATCCATACAAAATCAGTTTTTCTCCCTGAGCCAGTGGTAGAACTGTGCACAGGGATGCAGCAGCCTTGCACCTTCACTCACAAGGGACAATCTCCATTTTCCACATGGCAGCAAGAGTTGGCTTTTTGCTGGAAGATGTTTCCTTTGCTACTGAAAACCTTGACAATTAGTGAGCAAAACAAACACTCTTATGTTTGGGTTTTCTTACAGAAGGTCAACTTTGCTGTCTAGAAAAAAAAATAAAAAAAAGGTTGGATTTCCTCAACGAGGAAATTGCTCCTAATTGAGTAGGATGGAGAGTGGCAAGGACAGAGCAGGAGAGTCAGTGACACAACACTTCTCTAGCCCTGGCTCCCTACTCTCCCCACACAATGTCATAGACTCATAGAGTGTCTGGAGTGGGAAGGAACCCATGGGGATCATCAAGTCCAACTCCCTGCTCCTCACAGGACTCCCTAAAACTAAACCATAGACTAAATGTTGCATGTCTGCTTGTAACTTCTTGCAATACAGGATTTACCTCAACCCAACTGTTCTACTGCTTTTTTTACTTTGTATTCAATATGTGCTATATTTACTATATAACATTATTCCTGGTGGTATATTAAGCATGAGCACAGATGGGAGCTGTATTCCTGCTAATTTGCAAAAACTGCAAGGCTCATTTAACAACAGCTTAGAAACCAACCCAGTCCTGAGTGTTGTGGGCAGCAGTGAAGCCTTGTGGGGTTTGGCTCTGTTGTGCAATTCTCAGTGTACAAGGCTGTTAACAAGTGTGGAGCAACATCCTTGTGACAGCTTTGATTTGTCGTGGTGTCACACCTGACAAACAGCGTGTCCAGCCAGAGTGGTGCAGGGCCAGGTGGATTCTTTTTGGCTGGTGTACAATACCCACTGGAAAGGGAAAACCAGGAGCTGTCTCCACAGTCCTGGCACAGTCTGAGCTCAATCCTCAAGGTCTCTAGTGCTCCTCATGTCTTACAGAGTTCAGGGGTGTTCAGTACCACACCAAACCGAGCCCCTTGCACTTGTCACACACTCACAGTCCATTGGTGCTTCTGGCTTCTGTGGGGTTTGCCTCTTCAGAACCATGTAATTTTAGCTCAGTTTATTTACTTTGGAAAGGAGCAGGCAGTAATTTTAAAATACCTTAAGTACCCTTGAGAAGTGCAGAATTATATGTTACATCTTGTCAAAGCAAGTAAAACAGAAGGCCCTTTAATTCTTTTACTTTTTCTTTTGTTGTAATATGGTTTAGAAATAAATATGTGTAGATATCACATTAAGCTAGCAAACCCAATGCTGTTATATTAAGCTAGCAACTAAAAACTCCTACAGTATCATAAAAAAACTTCCTATCTGTAGCACTCATAAATAAGTGAATGAAAGTAAGTGATTTTAAAAGCTAGTTGAGAACTACCTCAATCTCCACACTGACCACTGACACCTGCATCTCCTCTCTGCCCACAGTGCAGAATATACTGCAAGCAGAAGACATTTCCTGTTATTTAGTTTTTCAGGAACAACCTGATGAAATCCACATTTCCGTAAATGAAAAGCCACTTTCTTCGCGATAATTTGATCGGCGCTTTTGAACCGTGATAAATAATCTGCACGTTCTGCAAGTGAACATTTCCTGAGCAATACTCAGCACTCACCAAAAGAATGCAAAGGGGTTTTTTAACATTTCATGGAAGAACTCAGCAGCTGAAAAGGGTGACACTCATAACACATTGCTTGGAATTAAATCTATAGAAACTTAATGCTAAGCACAAATGTTTTGGGGGTTTTGGTGCTGGGCTTTTTTAGTTAATGTAGTTTAATAGTAAATGTCAAATCACCCTCATTGGCTCGTCAGGGAAACCAGGTTTTCTCGGTCTGCTTTCACGACGAGTTCTCAGAAGCTGTTTGGCCTCTTTTTCAGACAAAATTGGTGAAGTGTCTAAAGACAGAAAAGCAGAAATTAGTTCTGAAATTATTAAAAAGTTAATATTTTACCTGTCAGTTGCAAAATGAAGTGTCTCCAAAACTGATTTTTGTCTATATACAAAGTGTTCTTTCTTTACAGCCCCTTCCTAGGGGATATTGCATTCCAGGAGATAGGAGTGGAATTTTAAACTATTTTTATACTTGTGTTTTCTCTGGTTCTATTAGTAGGAAGCAAAGCCTACATATTCATGTTACTATAAAATGAGGAACTATAACAGCACCATCTAACCACTGGCATTAGTGACTCTTCCAACTCTTTGTTCTTTTCCGTGTTGCTTTATAGGATTCTTTTTCAAAGTAACGAGTTAGATGTTGAAAAGGAGAGATTGCAATGAACATTCCACTTGCAGGACCTTGGTAAAATAAGATTAAAATAGTAAGCTAGTAAAATTAAACTTTTTGGGTTTACAACAAATTACTACAGAGTGGTGATGCAGAGAGTTAAACACCAAATACAACAGCATGGCTGTTAAAAATCAAATAGTGGAAACCCTGCAGTATAAAAAAGTTAAGTACTAAAAGTGAAAGATATGAAAATATATGAATAATGAAAACTAAAATAGAAGGTTGAACTAATACTACTTATATGCTCTTCAGCTCTACATACATACACAGGTTTGTTGATATAAACTCCTACCTGTAACAGTGGTCATCAGGACCAAAAAGGAGACAAACACAAGAAACTTCTTCATTTTGATTCTGCTTTCTCTCGGTCTGTTCCAAAATGAGTAACACTGACCAAGGCATCCTCCTATTTGAAGCAGCTACGTCAGTCACAAATGTTTGTTTATGCTTTAATTTGGGCGATAGTATGATTTTGAAAACAGCTGAAGGTTTGAATTAGTCTATTATCTGCACACACATTCTCAGCATAACTCTGTTCCTGGGGGAAAGAAAATAGAAGACCTTTTTTTTCCACTTCAGGCTTCGGAGTTACACTGGGTATTTTAGATTTGTGAAAATAAAGCACATCACCTTACATTTGGCACAGCGAACAAAGGTTTTGGGTGCCTAAGGTATATTAGGGTTTTTAAAAGAAACAATTGCTTATTACAGAATATTAATCTCAAAGGCAGCTGCAAATCTTTTTCAAAGATTGTCTCTAACTTTACTCCAGCAGAGAAGTACATACTAAAGGGGTTTAACTCTAGCAAAGCCAAATTGTCACTGCTGAGAAACACAGCAGAGTTTTTTACCAAATTAATAGAATCATACAAGTGAAAACTCACATAATTCCTCTCTTTGCAGGACAAGCTAGTAGAAAATAGGATTATAAATGTCCTTACTAGTAAACACAGTGTGAAGTAAGGATGAAGGTTAACAAATGTCACTGCAAACAGGTAGTTTCAGCCTTGAGAAATGTCTGGAGCTCTCCTGGGCAGTGCCATGTTTGACATAAAAATCTAAAAGCTAAAAATGTGAGTGCTGTGGGCACAAGGGCTTGACCAGAGTGAAGCATGAGGTGGGGATGGGGCAGTTCAGAGGTCAGGCTGTTCTGAAGTGCTTTTCTGACAGGGCTTTTCTTGGAAACCTGGGTATTGCCCACCTGTGGAGCATTTGCATTTTCCAGCCTATGGTTTAAGATACCAAGACCCTAAAATCCCAAGAAATTTTTTATATATTGCATGGATTTATGTCATTGCTCAAGATACGGTTTTGAAAGCGCAAAAACCTGTAGGTTCTAATAGCAGTCACTGTTCTTTGAACTGCTGCAGGGGAGACAGCCGAACACATGAGGGCAGAATGAAATTATAGGGGAAAACATTTATGTTGGGCAATAAAGGCACAGCTCAGGGGGGACCTCCTTGCTCTCCACAACCACCTCAAAGGAGGGTGTAGTGAGGTGGGGGCCCATCTCTTCTGCCGTGCCTGCCGTGAGAGGACCAGAAATGGCCTTAAGCTGAGACAGGAGAGATTCAGAATAGATATTAGAAAAATTTTTCACTGTTTGTGTGGTCAGGCATTGGAACAGGTTGCCCGGGGAGGTGTGGAGTCACCATCCCTGGAGGTGTTTACGAGGAGCTGGGTGATGGGCTTTGGTGGTTTAGGGGTTACAGTGGCAGTGCTGGTGGACGGTGTGACTGGATGATCTTAAAGGTCTCTTCCAGCCTTGATGATTCCGTGATTCTACGACAGAACGAAATTATGGGGAAGAGCATTTATGGTTGGGCAAGCAAGGCACAAACAGGGCGGTGATTCGGCTTTCGCCTTGGGCCCGGGCCTGGCGGAGCCGGAGCCGAACCACTCCGTCACACACTGTCGCGGGTGCGTGTGCCGGAGGCCCCCCTGGTGACATCCCCGATATCGCGACAGGCCGGGGGGCGGGCGGCGCCCGTCTCCTGGCAACCGCCCTCGGCCGCTTCTTCCGCTTCCGCCGCCCGCGCGTCCCGCGGCGCCGCTCGGTCCGCGCCGTGTCCTGCGGGCCCGGCACTGCCCCGGCACTGCCCCGCCGGCGGGACCTCCGCGGGGCGAGGGAGCGGCGCGGGGGGCGAGGGGCCGCGGGTGGGGCCACGCCGTGCCCGCCGCGGAGGGAAGGGCGAGGGGCGGCCGGGGCCGAGCGGCCGCTCCCCCGCCGGAGCAGCCCCGGGGGCGGCCCGGCCCCGCGCACGGCCCGGGCGGGCGCCAGAGGAGCCCCCGCAGGAAGCCTCTCGCCCGCCCGATGTGGCGCAGGTCGGTGCCGAGCCGCGGGCAGGGATTAGAGGATGGTTCATGAAGCTGCGCGTTGGCTCCCTGAGCGAAGGGGCCGTGCCGGCGCTCGCCCCGCCGCCCGCCCGAGCGGAGCGAGGGGTTAGTGCGGGGAGCCGCGGGGATGGAGGGCCCGGGCGGGGCCGACTGGCGCCTGGCGCTCTGGACGCTGTTCTCCGTGCTGCTGCCCGTGCTCATCACCGCCTGGTGCAGCTTCCAGCGGTCGCGGCGGCAGCTGCTGATACGGGACATCTTCCGCAAGAGCAAGCACGACTGGCACTACACGGACCTGTTCGGGCAGCCCTCGTACTGCTGCGTGTGTGCCCAGCACATGCTGCGCGGAGCCTTCTGCGGCTGCTGCGGGCTGCGCGCCAGCGAGCGCTGCCTCAAGAAGGCGGACCAGCGCTTCCTCTGCAAGGAGATCATGACGAGAGGCGCCGGGGCAGCCCAAAGCTCCATCCCACACCACTGGGTCAGGGGCAACGTCCCCCTCTGCAGCTGCTGCGTGGTGTGCAAGCAGCAGTGCGGCACCCAGCCCAAGCTCTGCGACTACAGGTACTGCTGGGGGCTTAGACTCTATAACACAGCGTACGGTGCCTTGTCAGTGTTGTATTTTCTGCAGGGTTAATGGTAGACATCGCCTCCAAGGAGGTCCTGCAGTAATCAGATAAGAAATCGTTTAAAAAAAAACAACTTCAGAGAGCCTAAAATTAAAATGGATGCTTGTGGGTAATTTGAGTCATAGATTAAGATTAGTGCGGCATTGCATCTCATGTCCACTCGTTCTCTTAATTGCATTACTCAAGCACGATGGGGAAGCTGCTGTGTAATTACATAGAAGAGACTCTCTGTGTCCAAGAGAGTTTGTGTTTTAGGGGGTGACGTTAAGAAGGTTCTGATACATTTGTCATTCGTTCAGTGGGTAGCCTCAGCAATGGGGGGCACAGCTCACAGTTCAAAACACCAGAGTGTGTTTGTACATCTCAAAATTGGCATCTGCTCAGTGTAAATAGAACAAACAACTGTCCTATAGAGGTTTCAGGTTTATTTTTAAGGATGCACAAAAAAAGCTAATGGGAAGTTTTATAACCTACTGTAATATAATATATTGTTAAAAGTTTCTGCTAAGAGTGTTTAAAAATGGAAGGAACCATTAAATGGGCTTTCACTGTCATTAGTAAGGCTGCTTGCAAAGTTGTCTGTGGCATGTTGTGCCAAAATACAGTGATAGTGCCCCAGGTCCTGGGTACAGTGTGTTGCTTCAGCCTTCCCAAAGGATGTCCTCTTTTAAGCATATATTCTGCCAGCTTTTGCTTTGCTTCTGTGTGATACTGGCAAACTGCTTGGTAAGTAAGCAGAATTACAGTATAAGAGTATTACTTTCAGAAACAGAACCTTGAGAGTGTCTGTAGGAGAAGAAGAAAGGGGAGGAATTTGGAGGCAAAGGGGAAAGGAAGGAAGAAGAGGAAAAGAAAGTCACGGTGTAGGGCAAGTATCATTGCTACTCGTGTGTTGGATTAGTCAGGGGAACTCCAAAAATAGCTTTCCCAGCTGCTTAAATCAAGGCTTTGGATGTACCAGATGAGGATTAACATTCTGCAGAGGCTGGTACTGGATATTGCAATATTTCCTCTTGCTCCAGTCCATTTTCCAGGGCAGCTTTTAGAAGAGGTCAAAAAACACAGCAGTTTTGCATAACAAAATCCCATCAGCATTGCACTGTGCTGTGTAGCCTTTTAGGTTTCAGATTTAAAGGGGTATTAGCAATATTAAGAAATGCAGCAATTAATATTACTAGTAGTACTTTATTGAATTAAACTCCAGTGTTTTATCTGTGCTCTTTAAGGATGGAGAGGAGCTCAGGTTCTCATACAGGCTTTCAGTGTAACTGTTAATATCACAAACAATGCAGGAGGATATTTATAGCACCTATATTTTACTGAGAACAAAATTAATTTACAGCTGTCAGGGTTTTTTTCCCCACAGAATTCAAATGCTTTCCTAGACTCGAAAGCAAATGAGCAATTTATGTAATTTTCTGTAGCCAATGTATAGTTTTCCAGGGAATGCAGGGTTTTCCCTGTAACGTGCTTTAAATATTACTTATAATGATGTGTGCCAACATAAGTAGTTTGCTGAATGTTAGTCTGTCTAAAATAATTGAGCAAAATCAACATGCCTGTTGTTTGAGGGTTGTTTTCATGTTCTTTGGTCTTTTTTTCCAGATGTGCATGGTGTCAGTACACTGTGCATGATGAATGCATGGTGGATTGTTTAAAGACTGAGGAGTGTACATTTGGAGAATTCAAAGACTTAATTATCCCACCCTACTATTTATCTACAATCAACCAGATGCGAAAAGACAAAAAAACCAGTTATGAAAAGGTAATGGTCTCCTGCTTCTGGGACCAAATAAACCCACAAACACACATTGAAACTTGAACTCAGTGCATTGTCAGGTTAATAACTATCAGGTAAATGTTCCAAGGTATATTAAGTACTTGCTGTGCTAATTCAGAGGTGTTTGTAGTTTTACTAATGTGGTTGTTGAAGCACAAGCATATGGGTGAACTTTTTTATTCCAAAATACTGAGCTTTGGGTATGTTACTTTCTTGAATGTTTTGGGATTTTTTTTTTATTTTTTTTTTACTGCTGTGTTCATAACATTGTAGTGTTTGTTTTCCTGGGGACTGCAGAATCTTCAGCCTTGATGTGTCAGAAATATTTGTTTCTGTTTTGACTACTTCAGACTTACTGGTGAATTCCTCCTTTCAGCACTTACAGGGGATGGGTTTTGGAGCAAGGCTGAAAACACTTTCAAACGTGCAGTATTTGTGTGACTGACTGATTTTCACTGTTTGCAGGTGGTACCTTACTGCAGGAAACACTGGATGCCAGTGATCATCCTGGCAAATACTCGCAGTGGGAACAACATGGGTGAAACTTTACTTGGAGAATTTAAAATGCTGCTGAACCCCGTTCAGGTATTTGCTGTGAAAAGCCACTATCCTAAAATGAAGGTTTAAATTAGAATAAACATCACTTTGCTTACACAATGGCAGCGGGGTCTTGTGGAAGATCAGTAGGAAACAAATTCATGCATTTTGCTCCTTTAGGAAGAACAGCTTCATAAAGAGAAACCAGAAGTGTAGAGGCTCCTTCCACCCCCAAGTTTGTTGTGATTCTAATACCAGTCCAGATTTTTTTTTATTTACAGTAATAATGCAGTCATTAAGTTAATGAGAAGTATCTGACTCTTGAAACAGGGTACACTTTTTGGAAAATGAAGTATTTAGATCTTCTTAATTTGAAACCTGTATTTTAAATCCTCACTTGTGGAAATGTCAGCATTTACAGTTTCTGCTTTGTGTAGTTGCTTTCCCCTTAAAATCCCTTTGGAATGGCACAAGATGTTGACGTAAGGCAGGCAGTTGTTCCCTGGATTTCCTGGCTGCACCTTAATACTCTTCCTTTGAAGTTCAAAACCCAGCCATGGAATACAGCCTAAGAGAAATCACTGTGCATTTGTTTTAAATGCATCCCAATAAGGCTTTAAAAAATAAACCTCTTTGTGTTCTGGGTGTTATAAAATTACTTTTATCTGAAGTCTTTCATCTTTACAGAATTCATCATCATGCTTCTACATACAGACTTTTCTGAGGACTCTCTCAGCTCAGTTTAATAAAGTCCATTTAATCCTAGTGAGACAGCTGGAGCTCTGTTGTGAATTTGGGAAACC